GGTACTAGCAGTACTAGTCATTAGCAGGCATTAGCAGTACTAATCAATTTGAGGGAAAAAAAAACTGATATTTACTAACTAACATGCCTCAATTTATAGAGCGGACGAATTTTAACTAGTATACGAAAAAGTTCATTGAAAACATCCGACCCTGCGCAGGTTCGAACCCCCTCATTTTTTGCTGGTCTCCTCCCTACTTCTACGCGACAGATCCATGATACCTTGAAGCTAAAGTGCTATTTGTAATATAATAGTCTGTGTTAATATCCTTAGCATTGGCTGTACTTGATAGCTGGTTATTGATCAGAATGAACACGTTCAATACGAACACATTTTGTCGCAACAATACTTGCGTCGTAACAATATTTGCAAATAAGCTTTGCTTGTGTAATAATGGTTGGTATCGAAATGACAACCTATCAATTGACTGTCCGAGACCTTAAGCCACTTTATTCATTTTCTGTATGACTAAAAATTGTTTAGTATTACACAATTAATGCAAATTTCATGGCAGTGCTTAAGATAGAATTTGATTCAATTCAAGAGAATAATCGTCTCCGAATAAATTTTGGTTGGCTCAGTTTTCGTCCCACGACGGTTTCACATTAAAAACTAAATTGTAAGTAGTCAGAAATCTGCAGCAGGACGAACTCTATCAGATTTGTCTCAATTTCCTCGAGATGTGCGCATGTTGGCTCTGACGTGCCAATAGCTGTCAGTTGTTTTCATAACCAGTTCGCTTTACTTACAAAATTTTTGGTTACTAGTAGGGCAATGCCTAAATTATTGTTCAATTCAATTTGAGTGAGAATTCGTGCCCGAATAAAATCTAGTTGGCACAGATTTCTTCTAAAGATTTTGCATCTCTTCCAGTGGCTGAGCTGTGGTGGTGCGTCGGCACTGATGCGCCAATAGCTGCCAGTCGTTTTTGTAAATAGTTCGTACCTCGGGACTGAAAGCTCGCAACACCTATCAGCCTGATTATGGGCTTTGAATCTTCCAAAACAATGCGGTAATTACTTTAACAAATGGGACACAATTATAACGAACAGGATAAAAATTTTAACAGTTTTTGTCGTAAACTGAAATCTGTTCGCGCCAAAATTTAAGAAATTGAGTGAGTTTAATTTTTCTCTCAAGAAAATGATACTAAATACGTTCGTTTTTTTGGTTTTTATGAAGCTGATAATTTTTGCTGGACAATCCTGAGGCAACGGACATTGATCAAAATTTCGATTTAGCCCTGCTCCTCGCTTCTATATGAATATAAAATCCTGCATGTGGTCTTTAGCGATATTTAGATAAATAAAGCGACAGCATTAAGACGACAAGACGATAAATTTAGAACTCTCTGTTTTTTTCTTTCTTTTTTCGCAACAATTGCCAGTTTTTTGTCTCCAAGCCAAAGTGGGGAGAGTAATGGCCCTATTTGTCTCAGTTTTCAAAAATAAGTCCTTTATTAAAATCCCCGAGGAATTTGCCATGGTCTTTTTTTGGCACGAATAAATGCCTATGAGGTTATCTGTTTGCTTTTTATTACAGATGAGCAGCGTCAGAAGATAGAGGAGGCTCTGAAGAGCGAGAATGACAGACTGAGGACAGAGTTGAGGAAGGAGAGGGAGCAGAGACAGCAGCTGGAACATGACGAGGCAGACAGGGTACGTAATAGTCCATAGCAAAAATCTCTATCCCATCACTTTTGCATAGCATAGCTCTCCTCTCTAAGCATATGTTCTTCCTAAGAAACATTCACACGAGGTCAAGCAGAGCTTCGCACCACAATCAATACAAAAATTAGCGATAACGAATGGCCCATTTAAAGGTCCTAATGAAAATGACAAATCATTACAAAAACTAAATATTCCATTTAAGCCAGGGGCGGATTAGGGGGGGGGGGGGTTGGAGGGGGCGGACTCGGACGTCTTCTTCCCTTTTCAGGGATTCGACACCCTGCCGACCCAAAGGGTCCCCCTTTGAACTATTTTGAGATATCCAATTTGGGCTGACGGACCCTAAAATTTTTCTAAAGGCGCTTTTGGCGCCAATATATACTTATTTTAAGGAGGGAGCGCGCGCCGAAAAAATGCGATTTTTTGTTTAAAATTTTCCAAAAAAAGTGCCCAAAAACGCTTTTTTGGCCTGTTTTTTTTCAAAATTTTGCCTGCGGAACTTTTTAGTACTTTGGAGAGCTCAGAAAACCAATTTGGTCGACCTAAAAAAAAGGTCGACAAAATTTCGAAAAAATTTTCAAATCCGCACCCCCCCCCCCCCTCGAGAAAATCCTAGATCCGCCCCTGATTAAAACCCGAAAGTTCAATTCAAAACAATTTTCAAGAAGAAAAGCAATTCAAGATAACAAGCATCAAAGCTTTGCTCTCAATCAAAAATAACAAACATCACGAAGAGACGCGAAGAGACTTTCTTATACCATGAATTTTATCCGCAGTTTCAGGGATCAGAACACAAAGAGAAAAGGAAAAGAAAAAATTAAGACCATGGCAGTCTGTCTAAAAAGCTTCAAATATTAAAAATCAGTTTGTTAATATATTCAATTGTGGTTTTTAATCACTGAGTCGATAAACTTTAAATAGAAAAAATTGTATTCAAGAGAGCTCTATGCAAAAGTAGCCGGTTATTTTTACATGTTCCTCCCAAAATCCTTTTAAATTGAAACTATTTTTCTCGAATCCGATTGGCTAAAATAGCATATCAGGTTCCACTGCCATCTAAAAATATTTGGTTCACATTTTAAGTAATTTTGAAATTTAGCCTTATTGGCCAAAAGGTTGTTAGGTAAAGTTTTCGAACTTATTGGAAAGAAAGCTCCGGGATAAAAAATGTAACAAATTTACTTCTGCTCGAAAATCAATTTTGTTTTGCGTTTTGTTCTCTGCTTTATAGTTTAATTTTGCAAATTAACAAAAATTGGGTGAAATAATTAAAAAACCAAAAAAGGCAAGAAAACGAAAAAAAATCTTATCGAGTCGAAAAGCAATTAAATTTTTTAAAAGCTTATCTTGAATAAAACAGGACTGCTTGTGCGTCAAGCCGAGGCCATTAGTGATCCGGCTGTACTTTAACGCCTTAAAAAAAATTTTGCTTAAAAAAATGACAAAACAACCGAACAATTTTTTTAAAGTTTTTTTTTGAACTACAAATGATATATTTAGCGTCTCTTTTCCTATCAATAAGAACAAATGACTTGCCTCAATTCAATTTGGAACGCATAAATCTGCCGCTTATGCGTGTTATAAAAAAATATCGCGCATTGATTATCCCAAATTGGCCGATTTCAAATCCCCATAACTTACAACAATGATCACAGGTGACATATTTCAAATTTGTAAGGCTCTAGAACACAAAATTTTTCACATGGAACAAAAAAAAAACAATTCCAAAAACGTTTAATTAAAAAGTCAAAAATTGACTGAATGAAAAAACTACAGCTAGCATAAATATTCCTCTGTTTCTTTGAAAATCGGAACAATGAATTCTGAACTAAACGCTTCATTAAAAACTACTGTCAGTTTTATAAACACAACTAAAAATTTAAACAAAGATGACCGGTTACTGTGCAAGTAGCACAGAATGTTCAGACCATAGTCCAAAAAAAAAGATTTTTTTTTAAAAAGTCAAATAAGTATATTTTTTCTGCGTGGTGTGATAAAAAGAAGTGATGAACGTACTACTAGAACTGATGCTTTCTCGAAAGTTGTAATAAAATAGGAAAAATTGCCAACAATTTTGTAGAAATGAAACGAAAAACAAAAAATCAAAAACAAAACAACTAAAAATTTGTTTATTTTTTTTCAATTCTTTTTGTAGAAATTTTTGGAAACTGAAATTTTTTCATTCACAAAATGGCGCTGCCAAACTCCAAAAGCTAATACTAATTGCGTAATTGCGTTTTCAGCGCTTAAATTAAGCATAAAAAATCTTAAATCTTTGGTAAGCCTGTTCGCTCGCTTAACTTGTTCGAAATTGAACTACAAATCAAAAAGTTTCAGCCAGTTTTTCTCAATACTGGGGATTTTTTTGAAAACGCTTCACTTTCGTTCGAATCACAGTTGAAAGATTTTTAAATTGGCATATCGTTGGAACGTTTCGCGATACCCAATTGTGCGTGGAAAAAAACTAAAGTACACACGAACACATTTTCTCCCTTTTTTCCATGATCGGCACAAAAACAACTGTAAGTAAGGAGACTTTTGAGATCTGAAAGAAAATGAATCCTCTCCAAAAACACTGCTCCAAAAACATACAGGCCCAATATCACACTTTTGCTCGTCATTCGACGCAGTATGTGCCAATTTATTTATTAGAATGAACGCCGTAGGTATTTCGGCAAACAAATTTGAAAAAAAATCATCAAGCTGAAAAATGCTCATGATTTTCTCCTCGCAAATTTTAGAATAACATGTGATGCGACTATTCAAGAAAATCTGGCCAGATAAAAACTTCGGGACAAAATTTTATGGGACAGTGTTTGGTCACTGAGCTCTCTTTGATGAGATATTCTACTCAACAAGGCAATAATTGAGAATTGAACTTTGGGAAGCTACTAAAATTGGTTTTCTTCTAAAATAAAACTAACAGAAAGAAGCGCAGTAAAAATGATAGAACGTGGCGTCAAATTTAAAAAAAAACATCTTCGACAACCGAAATGTTTCAATTGGTTCACCATCTATGCCAGCAAACCGGAGTAATTATCAAACTAACCCACACCTGTTCAATGCAGTCTCATAGACCAGTCAGATTATCCATATTTTTTGAAAAATTGTTATTTTTTGTTTAGTTGTTATTTTTTGCACCCGATAACGATTAAGACTATATTTACTGGTTTCTCAAAGTTTATATGATTTGTCCACAAGAAAAAGGACCAGCATACGAGCTGATCAGCTCTTCACGTTGAACCGCTGCTGAGCCCCTGGTTAAGAATTACATGCATTTTTTTGCTATTTTTGTGGTCTGGGTAATGTTGCCTCACCCTCTAGCCACGAGCACGGATCATGGTGGTCCTCAAACTTCCGACCTTTCGACTGAGAGGTGGAGGTGTAACCACTTCACCACCGCTCCCCAATGCTTAAATTCTACCATTTAAACTTCTTGTGTTGCTTAGTATTGTATTTCAACAATCAGAGCACCTCTTTTGCAAGACATGATTGGGTTAGACAGTAAAGTCGCACAAACAATATTTTCGATACGGTCAAATCCTTTTAAATAGCTTCATCATCAAGTATGCGTCGAACTTTCAGGCTGTAACCTGTAACTCAAGTAGTTGAATAGAGACTGATAAAGTGTGAAAGCAGTATTTCGCAGAAAATAAATTTCTGAAGGAATAACCTTCATTGATCATATTGAATAGCCAATTCCTTATAACTGTCTTTGAGGTCTTTTTCGAACTCTGATGCTCTTTACCCGAACTATCTTTGTCATAAAATAGGTTAAAGAGCTGGCTCTGTCTGATATGGCTAGGCTACACCAACAGGTGGCGAAATATCAGACACAGGCAACCGCTGTGAAGAAAGTGGTAACTAAACAGTGCGTGGATACGAGTATATGTATTTGTCAAATGAATGAATCCCGGGTCGAGATACCGCTCCCTGAGAAAAGCCAGCAACACTGAAGTCAAAAAGCAAACAATGCGAGCGCAAGTCTCAAAAATACAATTTTTATCACTTTCGTACAAAAACAAGCCGGTCGAAGAAGTATATACTATACTCATATATATGATATTAGGCAATAATCTCGACCCGGGAGCTCAAGTTTTGTATCATGCATGTGTAAATTCGCATCTCGTGGTCATGATTGAGTTTTCAGCTGAGAGTGAGCATGCTATATGAGTGATTTGTGTGTAGATTGCGCGTGAGAATGAGTTGAATGTGAGTCCCCTGGAACTGGCCCGGCTGAGAAGTCTGGATGCCGAATTGGAGGATAAAGACCTCAAGTACATGGCTCTGCAGAAAGCGGTTTGTAGAGAACTGGTTTATTTGATAAACGGCTGGGTTTTGCCAATAATCTGTACCGCTATTTCTTTCCTTCTCAATTAGGGTCATTTTGTGATTTTGTTATGTTTTATGACATTCACTTTTTGCGACCCTGCAGTTGCTAGAAAGTAGCATGTTCAGGGGAGGATGCAACAATGGTGGTTTCCAAATTATCAAAAGTGCTCCATCTTCTACATACACACTCAAAGCAGAGCTTTGCATCACCTGCATACTAAAACGTATGCCAGACTTGTGTTAAAAATTGTCAAAAATTTTAAATTATTTAAACATTTGAAGAACAAAAAAAATAAAAATTCAAAAAGTGTCATGAAACTTTACACAGAAACAAAAATACTCTTCACTTCGTTGCGCCATTTCCAAATGTTGTCGTTGTCAAAAAACATTTACGACAAAATGAAATTGTTATAGTAACTTATTACATGACAAGGTTTTTCCTTGAGTTTTGGAAATAACTTACATATTTTAGGCAGTTTAATGTGACAAACCTGAACCGATGTTCAAAAATTTGATCGAATATACCCAAAATTTAGGAGGCTAAAATGCTGGAAGCTAAGTACAAATTTTAGGACAAAAAATATCCAAAAGATACTCAAATACGCAAAGAAGCTAAATTCAAAAATACTAATCTTAATATTTTTTGGTAGTGTTGATACTAGAAACTTCCTAAAACAACTTCTTTGCTCAAAATTGAATAGATAAATACAGTAAAGTACCAATACGATACTCTAGATACAGTAACACTCCACTTAGTAAGAAAAACATTTAAAAGCTAAGAGACCACCATAACTAAAACGGTAAATTACTGGTTTCAGTCGTCATCAAAAAACTCTTTCTACATGGAAAGTCTAGTACACGGTTCCGATAACGTTGCTTGTCCCAAAAAAAGTTGTATTTAAATTCAATTAAATGCAGCTTCACAGAATACATTTACGTTTTTTTCAGTTGAAGTAGAAAAAAAGGTCTAATTGTAAGAAAAGTTAGTGTTGTTGCAAATAAGTTAACAAAAAAGTAGAAAAACGATAGTCCGACAAAAACAATTTATCGAGAAAAAACCCTGAGTTTTCATAAGAAGAACAGGTCCTGGAAATAGCAGATTTAGGAAGAAGCAGACACTCCCATCTCCCATGCCCCCCCCCACCTCAGGGATTCAAACCCCAGACTACCCAAAGGGTCTTTGGTTTTAACTTAGGACATCAAATGTTTGGTGGTTAACCCTAATAATGTTCAAAGGCATCTTTGGTGCCATTCTATACTGATTTTGATGCGAGAGCTCCCGCTGCAAAAAAAAACGCAAATGTTTGGTCGCTTTTTTTACAATTGCCCAAAATTGTCTTTTTGCCTGTTTTTTAAACAATTCGCCTGTGGCGCAAAAGGTTTGGTCAAAATAGTCTTTACAGTGATTGGGAGATCTCGGAAAATCAATTTAGTTCGTTTGTGCGTTTGAAAATGTTCCGCCCTGGGTCCTGATCAGAACTTAAACTTTTTACATAGTGACCAAGTTGAGCTTCGCACCACTTGCGATACAAAAATTATAGACTATGATTAAAATCAAATCAATAGAAAAAACAGAGATAATAGTTTTTGTCCAAAAAATTATAGAAATTGCAACAGACGCCCAAAATAACAGAAGCAAAAAACCTGCCCCAATCGAAACTTAACATGGTACTTTTGGAATGCTCGAAAAAAAGCTTATTTAAAAAAACCCTTTCTACGAAACTAAGCCGACAAAAAAGCAGACAATAATCTAAGCTAGGCGAAAAATTTCAGTTAGCAAAACTTAATTCTCAACTGAATGGAACTGCTGGACTTTGTCGTTTCAAGCATGGATATTATAACAACCCTTCAAAAAAACCTTCCGATCGGATCCAAACCACAAGCCACAGCGGTCTCACACAGTTGTTTGTTTGCCTCTAAACCAGATGCGCCATATGCTTGATTGAATTTATTTTTACCCAGCAGTAAAAACCGAAAATAAAACTTTCATTCTGAAATCAAAATTCAAAAATTTCCAAGCTAATACAAAAATTTCAAGTCGCCCTTCCCCCAGAATACACATACGCATAAAAATTTTTTATTAGGTCATCAAACGACGCAATAAAAGGCTAAATTTTGATATAAAATAACCCGAAACCTTTGAAGCCTAAAAAGAAAAAAAAATAACAAACCCTGGTGGCAAAATTACAATCAGCGAAAATATCAAGTTTCGATTAAGCAGGATATTTAAATTACCAACATGCTCAGAATCGGAATTTATCTTTTGCGACAGAAAGGACAGTAGATGTAGGAGTCCACAAAATGAGTCCAGTGAACAAATTTATTCCAGGAAAAAAGTCTAGAACGCGATTCCAATACCCTTGTTTACCGCAAATGAATCAAGCTATCAAATGATTCAGTGGATCTATTGGTCAAGTTCTATGTTCTGTTTTCATAATGTTCTCTATTTGCAAGCGTACTGACATCGCTTTTTCCAAATCTCTTGAATTTTGGCTTAACTTGGCTTTGGGGCAATCTACACCGATTTGCTTGATAATTATTCTGCAGCTATTGGCCATTCTAGGGTTTGTGGAGAACCAGAAATCTAAATACTTCTCATTTTTCCCTTGTAGATATAATTTTATTCCGAAAACATCGTTTGTTGATTTTCAAAAAACATCTTCGCCATTCGCTACAGTTCTTGATTAAAGTGACACCAGTTACATTTTCTCATCATCAATTGTTTTTCAGCTGGAGGACAACAGTCGCATGTGGGGGAGGGAGAAGGAGGAACTGTTGAGGCGGATCACTGAGTTGGAGAGGGGCTTTGCCAGGTCTCCCGTCATGATACTCGGGCACCCCTCCCTCAACAAACCCCACCTACAGCCACACACAAACCATAACGTCCACACGGTAACTATTTTTTGTATCTTCAAAAAAACGACTCCTTGCTTTCATGTAACTTGATTCATTTTCCTAAAAATTATATTATAAACAATTACGCCCAAATGTTGCGTCGGTGTATCTAAATGACACCTTTTCGTCATCAACTTATTAGCTTCTAATTCATTCAATTTCAGGACCGGCTGATGAGTCCACACTATCGACCCAAAAACTGGCCATCACGACTGGAACCTATCAGCTGACAATAAATATCAACCACAGCAGCTTATTCAGTACCTGAACTTCGAATTGAACTTTGAAAACCATCGAATTAAAATAGTTCCACAGTCTGATAATTTGTTTCCTCTTAATAAAATTTATTTTTGTCAATTTTTGCCGACGACTTAAACTTGAAAGGAGACTCATTTTATAATACTTAAATTATTATTTCTGAAATAACCATTAGAAAAAGAAAACATTCATAAATAAACATTTGGGAACAAATAAAGGTATTGTGTGAAAACAAAACAAAACCCTACCAGCTACATTGAGACGTCTGTCTATATATCAATTTTTGCGTCCAAATAACTTAAACAGTATTTTAGTTTAACATCGAATAACTTCAGCTAAATTCCAGCGGCTTTTCATGTACAACTAATTGTATAATCCTCATGATAAAATACCACTCTTTATTTCAAACTAAAAAGGTATTTCAAGCATGATTTTCGACAATAGAGAATTTTGATACCTGTTTGAAATTGCTGACTAGTTTTCCAAATATGATTTTAGCACCATTTTGATTTCATCTTATAGCCCATGACCAAACAAATTCCATATTTCGTAGCTATTCAATTCATTCACTTTAGTTAAGACAATAAATAATTCAAAATAAAATTTTTAGAATATCAATAAATCATACTTTTCTAAGATGACCAGCATATAGCAGCAGCAATTGAGATAATAAACCTAGCTTCGTCAAATATTATAGCTTTGCTTTCTGAATATTTGGTTCAATGATTGTTCTATAGCTTAATTATTTATTAATCTAGTGACAGTTAGAATATACAAAGCGGTACGAAAATTTAACGCCGAAGAATTCATTACATGAAATAATTTTCATATTAATAAAACGAAGAATTTCCTACGTTCAGTCGAATAAACTGTATTTCAGTTTCTGCATAATTCTGGGCAACTCTTTTCTCCAGGGCAGGTATTATTCTGAATATGGGGCTAAGGCAAGGGTGGCTACTGCATGTTATTGCGTAACGAGATTTGCATCTCCCATTAACACGGCGAGTTCATTCAGTGAACAATTTGAGCAAACTAATATTCCTACTCTTTCTTTTTATTCTTTTCTTCCTTGTTACGACTCTGCTTTTTTGTACTTTGGGATTGCGGCCAAAATTGTGAATTTTTGGTTAGGCGAGTTATTACATGGTTGCACCATTAAGTTTGATGCCCCGTCTGTTGTGAGACAGCCTTGTGAGGATTTGTGCACGAACAGTTTCACCTAAATAACACACATTTTTGACAATGCTTCATCATTCGTGAACATCTTTCCTTTTTAGTGACCACTTTTCATCTTTCGAATTACAAATATAGAGTAGAAAAAACCAATATTGTTAAAGCCCTTTGAACTTCATATTGAAAGAGTTTAACACAGAGGCGAAGCGGAGCCTCGCACCACTTGAATGCGCTACCACACACATAGCAAGCTAGCAGACAGAAAATGAAACAAAAGCCACTAATTCGAAAAACAATTAGAACATTTCGAAAAAAAATAACTACGAAATTTTCAGAAATTTGTCTGGAATGATGTTCAATTTAAAAACACAAAAATTGGCATTTAATAAGTATTCAGACCAGGGGCGGATCTAGGATTTTCTCGAGGGGGGGGGGCGGATTTTCAAAAAAACTTCCAAAATTTTGACGACCTTTTTTTTTTTTTTTAGGTCGACCAAATTGATTTTTCGAGGAGCTCTCCCAAAGCACTGTTTTGCCCCTACTTTGGCTAAATTTTCTGCGCCGCAGCCAAATTTTTGAAAAAACAGTCAGAAAAGCCGTTTTCGGGCAATTTTTGAAAAATTTTGACAAAAAAATCGCGTTTTTTTGGCGCGCGCTCCCCCTCAAAGTTAGTATATATTGGCGCCAAAGGCGCCTTTAGAAAAATTTTAGGGTCAGTCGGCCAAAAATGGATTTCTGAAAAAGTATCAAAGGGGTGACCCTTGGGGTCGGCAGGGGGTCGAATCCCTGAGGGGGGGGGGGGGGGGGGGGCGTCCGCCCCCGCCCCCCCCCCCCTAAATCCGCCCCTGATTCAGACACCAAAATTGATCGGCAACGAAGATAAAAGCTGACAAAAGCTGGTTAGACTCCCGTTTAGCAAAACTGTTTTCAATTGAAAATCTTTTGGAAGTTCCGAAAATCCAAGTTATTACGCCCCCTCCCGGAAACACACATTAAACCGTCAAAACCTAATTTTTCTTCAAAACAAAGCTTGACTAGGTCACTTACTTGATAAAAAACAATTGAATCCAAACAAACAAGCGGAAAAAAATCGAAAAAAAAATTACAAACTTAGTAAGTTTACAAATTACAGTCACAAATCAAAATTCTTTCAGCTACAACGAAAATTACTTACAGCACAGCAAAAATCCGTAACAAGGCAACTAAGCCGACCAAACATAAGCAGACACAAAACAGATCGACAATTTTTCGAAACAGAATATTTCCCTTCTGATTAAAAAAAAATTTCTGGCCTGATTCGAACATAGGACCTTTACCACCTCAGGCGTAGTATTTTTCTCAAAAACATGCCTGAAAAACTAATAAGGTTTGATTTTGATGTAAGCCAAGCTATCATGTTTTTCCGTAAATATTTTGTAAAACAAGAAAACTCGGTGAAGCGGCAACTTAGCCGACAAAAGATAATCAGACTAACGATAATCCAAAATATTTTTGAAACGAAATATTTTACTCCTTGAAAGAACTGTCAGCCATAACAGCAGACCGGTAGAAATTAAATTTGCACGTGTGCACGTGAATGAAGTTGTTAACCCGAAAAAAAGTATATATTCCAATTTAATAAAGCTTGCTTATCGCAAGCGTAATAATAATTGACTTTCACTATTGATTTTTTTTGGATAAGACTAACCCAATTAGAGAAAAAAGTACAATAGGTTTTTATTTTATTCCTTTGGTAAATACGAAAAATAACATCCAATTTGTTATTAATTATTTTTAAATCTATTGGGCTTTCATTTAGCAAAGAAATCAAAACTTAAACCTCCAAAAAGTAAAATTGAGCGTGAACAAAATTTACACAGAGGCAAAGTTGCACTTCGCATACACAAGCAATAATATGACCGATAACGCTACTGGGAAAAACTGAATGAGTAAGACTTTGAGTCTACAAAATTTCTGAAGTGACGCACGCCAACTATGAGTCTAGATAATTGCTAAGTGACGCAAGCCAATTATGACGCACTGGCAGTAAGTCTTTTTGGAAAAAAAAAATTACCAAATAACATGCCTCATTTTATAGAGCGGACGCATTTTTAACTAGTACACGTAAAAGACCAGGGTCGAACCCTCTTATATTGATGCTGGTCTCCTGCCCTACCTCTACGCTATAGATCCATGATACCTTGAAGCTAAAGTGCTAATTGTAATATAATAGTCCGTGTTACTATCCTTAGAATTGACTGCTCCTAATAGCTGGTTAAGGTTCAAAATGAGCACTTTCAAAATGAACACATTTTTTTCGCAACCAGCTTTCCTTGTGTATAGAATTTCTCCTGAAAAACCATTAGACTTAAGCAAAAGATAAACCCTTTCATTCATTAACACTAAAAAACAGCAGGCACATATTGACGAGTCTTTACTCGGAAAAAAATCGAAACTTGAACAAAAAAGAATAACATTTGAGCGGCCAAATCGATAGTGCAGGTTTATTGAGTTTTAGAAAATCTGTAGCCTAGAGATCACTGTTGAACAGTTTTAAAATTTAGTCCTTTTTTACGGAGGATCACAAAAATATACCTAATTAACTGACTTCTGCGGTTTTGCATTTCATCCCGATTAGATGGTTCGAATCAAACATGCAACTTCAGCGACAAAATTATTTATGCTTTTTTGAATTGAGGGCGTCTAAATTACCACAGAATCAAAACTGCGGCAGGTATTTTTTAACCTCCAAAGACAGGGGCGGATCTAGGATTTTCTCGAGGGGGACGCGGATTTTCAAGAAAATTTCGAAAATTTTGTCGACTCTTTTTAAGCCCAGCAAATTGATTTATGAGCTCTTAAATCACTATAAAGCCCCATTTTGACCAAATTTTCTGCGCCTCAGGCAATTTTTTTTGAAAAACGAGCCAAAAAAGGCGTTTTTAAGCACTTTTTGGAAAATGTTGGACAAAAAATCGCGTTTTTTTTGGCGCGCGCTCCCCCCTGAAAATTAGTACACTTTGGCGCCAAAAACGTTTTTAGAAAAATTTTATGGTGAGTCAGCCAAAAAGGGATATCTCTAAATAGTACAAAGGGGGACCTTTTGCGTTGGCAGGGGGTCGAATCCCTGAGAATGCCCCCCCCCCCCCCGAGCTAAATCCGCTGGTGCGTTCGTTTGATAGCAATCTCATTTTATCCTATTTTAACTTCAACAATCCTATATTTTTACATTTACCTTCATCCTCTAATTTCGAGACGATTTAACCAGAAAATCTGTTTCCTAAAAGCAAGAGTGAAAAAGATGTAATGAAGAACAGACAGATATCGTCAACGGGGAGCGGGAAAAAATTTTTTGGTCGAAAAAAAAACGCTTTTATATTTTTGGTGGCCATAAAATTGGAAAAAAAGTAAGTACATAAACCTGCAAATATTGTCGACCTTTTTTTAAGTCGACCAAATTGATTTTTCGAGCTCTCCCAAAGCACGATTTTGTCCATTTTTTGGCCAAATTTTTTGCACCGGAGGCAAAATTTTGAAAAAACAGGCCAAAAAAGGCGTTTTTAGGCACTTTTTGGAAAATTGTGACCGAAAAATTGCGTTTTTTCGTCGCGCGCTCCCCCCTCGAAATTAGTATATATTGGCGCCAAAGGATTTCTTAAAAAGTATCAAAGGGGGGACCCTTTAGGTCGGCAGGGCGTCCGCCCCCCCCCCCCCCTAAATCCGCCCCTGTCCAAAGATTCTTTTTGACACTCTTTCTTTCATAACTTCAGCCAAAGACAATGAAAAATAGTATCGATTATCAAAAAACGAGAATTTACTTAACAAATATTACGAAAAAGAGCATTGGCTCTTTCAAGTAAAACGACTCCAGAATACTATCAAAACAATTATGGCAAAGCAGTTATTTTTTAGACCCAACGTGGACCTATAATTTGGGGGTGAGCGGGGTGCGAGAGCATGAAAATCCCATAAAATTATGCGGCCATTTTACTGTTTTCGTCATCAAAGACTTTTACCATAAACTGATGTTCACAATGTTCAATGATTTTGACATTCGACATATATGTAAAAAGGCATCATTCCATATATCATCAAAAAGGTATCATGGTTTGGTGAAACTTGCTAGTAGAACCTTTCTTATATATAGCTATCACATTCAAACCACATTGTTTTTCGAAAGGAAACGGTCAAAAAGCTTAATACGGAAGTAACTAAAAATTATTCTATGACGCAGGAGCTATCTTCCAATATTGCGGCAAAAGTTAGAATTAAAAATTTTGCTAGCAAACGAGCTATCATCACTAAGAATACCATTATAACTCTCTTGTTTAAGTTTGCAAGTCGAATCGTTTGCTGTTTTACTTCTCCGAATCGGCAAAAGCAAAAAATTTTTTTTTGGATAGTGAAGAAACCCCATCAACCGCACGACATGGGCTTAATTGAACAAGAACTCACCAATTCCTTAAGAAGAAAAAACTAAAACACACCCGAATACTAAGTTCCTCCCCATTTTCAAGGGTCGGAACAAAATGGCAAAATAGAAAGCAGTGACTGTTTTTTTGCGGTTCATTTGCCTTGGACGCTTAGAATAAAACACGCGCATTTTCACACTTTCATTGTCGAACTTATTTCATCAACAATTTTTTCTTGAGGGCCTTAATTCGACTTAACTGAAATTTTTCAAAATGATTTCATCAACTTCAAATTGGCAGTACTTTTTCGTCGAGCACAGTTCTGTTTGGAGTGCCGTCCGTATTTAGACAACCGCGTATTCATTCTCTTCAGTAAGCAGACAAATTATATACTAACCAATCAGAATCGAAATAAGAAAGCAAGCTTACGAAATAAACAATAAATAATTATTAATTTCTTCCTTGTCTCGATTCTGATTGGTTAATTTAGTATTTGTCTGCGAGCTGACGAGTATGAATATGTGATTGTCTAAATACTGCCACGTAACCGTTCTGTTTCGACAGTGCTTCATTATTGAGCTAGCAAACTACCGACTATAAATAGTATCAAGCATAAATTTTTCCCTATTCAACAGTCAGTTGGAAAAAGAGTCCATAATCGCAAAGAGACAGAAAAAAAAACGTTTTAAAAAATCAACTTTTGAAACTCAAAGAAAAGAATATATGTATATATAACTCTTTGAAAATCGAGAGAAATTTATGAATGTCAATTTTTTGATGAATTTAACTCACTTTGACGAAATTGGACTGTTACGTAAAATTTTTATTACGCTAGGAACTCGAATAATTAAATTCCACTTGAAACTAGAAATCGATCACTTTTTTGCGCCATTTCCTCTTTCGTAATTGTAGAGCGAATTATACCTACCTTTCAGCAAATGAACTTGAGTTGAGCTCAAAAAGTGCACATATACCTAAGGGCATGCATAAATATCACGACCCACGAGTAAAAACAAAAAAAAATCATCACGACCTATATAAGAGTCTGAACTACGTTCAATGACTCTTTAAACTATTTATGGAGGTGTTCCATACTATAATTTCTATATTATGGTAATCCATTAAGGATAAACGGAATCTCTTTATGATATAAATGATGGGATAAAAACTCCATATTAACCCATAAATCAACTGCTGTTTCTGGAAACGATATCTAGGCTTTTCAAGGAAATGCGGTCCAAAATACCGCATATACCAGTTCAGTAAATGGTACATCTTTCAAGATCAATTTTTTACACTGAGGCGAAGTTGCACTTCGCATACACAAGCAAAAATATGACCGAGAACGCTACTAGGAAAAACTGAATGAGTAAAACTTTGAGTCTACAAAATTTCTCAAGTGACGCACACCAAATATGAGTCTACATAATGGCTAAGTGACGCAAGCTAATTATGACGCATTAGCAGTATCAGTCAATTTGAAAAGAAATTTACCAACTAACATGCCTCAATTTATAGAGCGGATGCATTTTAACTAGTATACGAAAAAGTTCATTAAAAGCATGCGACCCTGCTGAGGTTCGAACCCTCTTATTTTTTGCTGGTCTCCTTCCCTACTTCTACGCTACAGATCCATGATACCTTGAAGCTAAAGTGCTATTTGTAATACAATAGTGTGTATTAATATCCTTAGCTTTTGCTGTACTTCATCGCTGGTTATTGATCTTATGCAATACTGCAATAAAAGAGCACTTTCAAAAAGAGCACTTTCAAAAAGAGCACTAATATTTGCGACCTAAGTTGGAAAAAAAAGTGAGTTCGTAATATCACACAAGCTTTGCTTGTGTAAAAAATCTCTAGCGCACTTTTATTGTTTGTTTGTAATTTGCTTAAAGTTAGACCCAATTGGAGTGTTTACTTATAATTGCATTAACAAAACAGACTAATAAAGACTTATTTTCAAGTATTTGTTACTTTTTATTGTGTTTTTGTTAATCCAACATTTATTCTTTAAATATGCTATCATGGCCATAACTGATGCTAAACGAATTTGCAATAGCACAATAAAAAAGGAGGCTCCATATAGTGGACATACAATATTTGAAACCCGCTGACTTCAGTTTGATTCTAGACTTGACCTACATCTGGGTCGTAGAGCCAGTCGAGATCTCTCTGTGGCGCATGCTGGCACTTGATGAATGTCACTGGCATGCCCACCTTCTTACCCTGCAGACACATGTCGTCATGCCTCAGCTTCTCATCATTAGTGTACGCCCAGATCTACACACATACATGCAAAAAAGTTATACAACTTCCAAAAGCTGAGCTAAATCGCCTAATTTAATCTCGTACACAAAGTTTTCAGCTTTAAGATAATCTGTGGTGTATTCTTTTTACAAAATAAGTCCTTTTGAAGCAAATAAAGTTCGGATATCATAACAACCACGTTAATATCGTAGCCGAAACTTAAATCAAGCGCAAATTTATTTTTGTATTCACTTGATTATCAAGGGTCTCCAAAAAGGTTATAATATTCTAAATGCTGTGTTCAGAATTCTAAGCTCCAGATTAGAGTAGGATATTGTTAAAACAAAGTTAAATCTATTTTGGCAACCAATTCTGGTTCAAAAGTGCGCTCAGTTTCTTGAAAAACTCTTTCAAAAAATGTGTGTACGATTTTAAATTGGTGTTATAAATAAAAAGATGTTCTATTTTGAACGGAATTTCCCACATCAATTGAAGAATTGGCACGTTATTATATCTGAAATATCTACCCCCAATGGTGAGAAAACGGGTGCAATTGATACTAACTTGAAGAGACTGTGAAAAGAAGAAAATTGATTAAGGAAGAAGAGACTTCAGAAGCAATTCTGACAACCTCTAAGGCCAATAGAGACGAAGAAACTCACTTGTAATGAATTTCTCTGTCTCAATAAACACCGATATAACCACGATACACGTTAATTTAACCAAATTAGCAAATGTAACTAAAATTAATTTAAGTTGAATTCTGAGAGGCGTGTTTAAAATGCAGGTAAAAACCATCCACTTTCCAAGCAATTTTTCACGAACTAGCAGGACGTTTTAGACTAAGAACTTTATCTGTCTGACTTGCCCTTTTTTTGATAATTTCTCGATCACGTTTCAAATAAATTTACCTGGTTGCCACCCTGGCTGTGACATGTCGAGTATCCTCCCAAAGCTCCGTCATTTCTACTCATTGTATCCAGACATTCTGAGAGCTGGTTGCGGATCTGGCCGAAATAGCTCAAGTCTAAGTTGAACTGGGATCCGGGCCAGATATTCTCCAGGTACCAACTAAAGGGCTTACATTGTAGCTTTTCCTTCAGTCGCAGTCGCTCACTTATGTCTCCCATGTCAAGGTCACGAACAGCTTAAATTCACTATTGATAATTAATCGTACCTTAAATTGTTAACAGATTCACTATTGCTAATTCACTATGGCGCGGTTTCGAATCTCTTGCAAAATGAAAATATGACCACAAGCATCAAGATATTAGATAAATCAATTTACGCAATGAGCAAATGCAATAAGGGAAACCTGGGTTAAATAAGTTATTATTTTCAGGGGGGAATTCTGAAAACTAATAACTAAAAAAATCTAACGTATTTTTGCGCCAATTGCAATTTTGTTAATGAATAGAGTCTGTTTCCGTCTTTTTAGCAAAATAGTTTAATTGAACGTGAAAAAAAAATTAAGTATGAAGCAAGTTTTTTAAGAAAAACCACACGATGTGCCACCTAAATAATTGATAAATCACTTTGTTCATAAACGCTTAATAATAAGATACCATTTTAAACAAATTTTACTAAAATTACCCAGATGATAAACAGCAAAAGCTGGTTGCTGGGTTTCCAAAACAATTGAAGTGCTCCGGCCACAGAGAGCTTTCGGAAAGGAAACGAAAAAAGTTTTCATGTTTTTTTTTCCGTGTGGTGAAAGCTTTAATGGTTTATTTTCTAATATTTTTAAGTAACGTATATCGTAGTTTGGCCTCTTAAAATAATTGGAGTCCTTCATTTTTTTTCGCTGGGAAATTCCATTTTTGAAGTAAGAAGTCGATCACGTTTTCAGCAAAAAAAAAATCATCAATACCTATATAAAAGTATTCATTACGCTCAAGAATCTGAAAAAGAATTTGCCGCCATCCAGCAACCAATAAAGCGGACAAACCGCATTTATTAAATTGCCAATGCTCAACAACAACAAAGTGCTAATTTATGTGAGCCCAGTTGAAAAAACTAAACTCAAAATATAACACAAGCTTTTGATTAGTACTTTGCACCAACGAGGAACAAAACGGACGCCTAAGATGTTCAACTCTTTAGTTTTTAACCAGATTGAACCCAACTTGAATAATTTATGGTCAATTTACAAAACCATTGATAGTGCATTGCTATTACTTACATGGGTTGATCTGGTACCATATCTCCTTGTACTCGTCCATCCACACTTCAGCCAGTCTCTTCGTATTTTTATTAATCACGTGACTGGTTCCCCCCGGGAACGTGTAGGGCGTTTGTTTGCGGAACACATGGCCTACGTGTGAACACGGAGAGATCAAAAGTCTACCTCCACACAACCATACCTGAAATTTCATTTATTCCTGGGAAATTTATTGCTGCTTGCAAATTGAGATTTTGGTAATCAATTGCGCTTTTTTGATGCATCATTTTATTGTTTTCTTGAACGCACAAGCAACTCGACGTTTATGGGAAACTTAAAAGAATTCTAAGGTTTATTCGGACTTGAGTTCGATTTACTTCAAAGCATTTTTTGTCATAGCGAAATTTATCAACCAACCCTAAAAGATATTTCTAGATTTTCAGCACCCCACACATCCATTCCTGAGTCGTAAGTTCCGATCTCCTCAAAGTAATCCTTGTACACTGCGAAGAGACCACCGGCCATAGTGGGAGTCCTAAATAACAATCAATTAAATCAATTTAAATCGATTAACTTAAAGCGATAATAACTCAGAGCGTGCAACCAATCTCCAGTGGTTTTGAACACAAGACAAAAGGTAACATTCAGGGTCCGACAATCCCCTCCAGATTTCCACACCAAGATACCGATAGAACTTTTTCAGTTTTTTCATAGGGTCAAAAAAAAAACTTTAATTGTGAGAGACGCTAAAAACGCGTTTTTTAAGGGAAAAAAACTTTTCAAAAATTAAAAGTTTATTGTTGGCAAGTTTTCTCAAAACATTATGGCAAATAGGAGAACCCGGAATATCAATACGGTTGACATAGAATGGTTGTTAAAATGTTCAAAATTCCACCCTCGCAAAAATTCTAGATCAGGCCCCCGGTTATATTTTGAAGACGACATCTTGCTTGAGAAAAGTAATTCGCTCTGAGTTACTTTAGACTAGCTATTTATTAGGAAATTAAAGTCATA